TCCGATCTACTGATTTACTTATGCATTTCTCCTTATGAGATTGAAATATACTTTAGCCATATATGCTCTGTCCTGTCCTAATTTAATATTTATTTGATGATGTCCTTTATTCTGTATGTAGAGTCTTTATGATAACTCTTCATGGTTAACTTCTTGGAAATATTTGTGCTATTTTGAATTCATATTCATATTTTTTAAGTTACACCCATGAAATTTTTTTTTTCCTTAAAGGACAAAAGCTAAGGCTTGGAAGCCAGGCATTTGAGGTGTTTCACACTTTGACCCTACCTCTTCCTCTAATTTTGTCTTCGGCCTTGTGTCTGTAGTACTCTCTAAAACATTTGAATTTCTCTTCACTGATTGTTAGAAGCAACTGATCCACGTCTGTCACTCTCTGTACCTCACATGAGATGTGCCTACATCTCAGTTGTCAAGGCTGTTCTTGCCTTTCCATTCTGACTGTTTCTCAACCATTCAGCATATCTTTACTCGGTGCCTAATATGTGTCATACAGCATGGCTGGGCTTGAAGGCGAAGTAGTGAACAAGTGCATCAAGTGCGCAGCCTCGTGGGCCTTCATTTAGACGGTGAGGCAGACGACATACAGTCCTCAGACTCATCACTGTGTGTTATGTTCTTTCCTCACACTTCCGCTCATCACACCAACTTTTAGCTATCATTTTTTCTTGTGAACTCCGTGGGTTGTTGTTTCTACAATTGGTTTTCTTTCAATAAGTGTAGCCCTTCATTCTTTCTTACTTAGATCTATGTTCTATAGGGGAGAAACTCATCATGTTTCTGTAGTTGAGACCCTAACATAGTTCTCTACAGAGAGTTAAGAACCAAATTGTTTTGTTGAATAATGTCTTATATCACTTTTATTTTTTAATGAAAACATTTTAACTATAATAATAATGGAAGTGATTCAGATTCAGGATTGAAATAATGTAGTCCTCCATAACAATTTCAAAGCCAGATTTTTAGGTGAAGATCATACTTCACGCACTCCCAGCCCTCATTCCTGTCCTCTGTCTCATCGCACCCTGCACAGATCGCTGCACAGGACAGCCAGCACTACACACAATAGATCCACAAAGAAAATAAAGCTCAGACCCCAACAATGAAAGGAAACACTGAAACCATGCTTGCAGGGAAAGAGAAATAAGGATGGAGCCAGGGGACAAATCAGTCCCGAGCAGGAATTAACATTCCTCTTTCCAAAGCCCTGAATCTCCTATGTCCAGCATGCTCTGGAAACAGGTCCTGGCCCGAGAAGGACAGTGGCACTGACTCTCAAGCTCTCCATGCCAACCCAGAGTCCCTGTCCTGTCCTCTCCCCTCTCTCTGTCAACTGCAATATCTGCCTAATACTTAAGTAATTAAACACATTGTCTTACAAAATCTAGTTTTTAACAAAGATAACCTTTATGTTCTATTTGTATTTCTCTCCATATTGAATTCTTCCTGCCATTTTATTTCTTGGAAAAATAGTATCAGGTATTATATTAGTAGCTTTTTATCTTTAATGAAATCAACATAAAATTATAACTATTGACTCAAGTGTACAAGAAACATTCCCATTTGAATTGAACCCATAATTGGCATTAGGCTGCAGGAAAATTCATTCATAGTTGTTAGTTTGGAATGGCAAAGACCTCTTTATCTCAAGGCTTGAATGAAGAATCAGGCTTTATGTAGTACCTAGAAAACTGGCCCTCACATTTTTAATGGTTGTACCTCACTGTCTAAGATGTGTGGTCTTTTAGAGGCAGGCAGTTGTGCCGATACACCAGTTTGGGGTTAGGGAATTTTCCCTGTTGCCAAAAGCCCTGGTGCTTAACTTCTGTAGGCACCATGCATGGAAGGGACTACCAGGTACACAGGCAGATTGTCCTTTGTAAGAGGACTGTTGTCAGGGGAATGACCAGGAGCTGAAATCCAGCCCAGGCGCACACCACTTAGCAAACTCGGTTTTCCCAGGGCTGCATTGGCTCTGAGTGGTGCAGAGGCACCATGGGGGATGGAGGGACTCTGCTTACCACTCGCCATGCCCTGGTTCCAGCCTGACCTCTTCATCCCTTCTCTTCCCTCTCACTGTCCTAGCTGAATAAAGCTAATGCAGATTCCGAGAACTTTGCCTTCCTAATCTTGGGGAAAATAATCTTCTTCTTTTTTAGGCTTCTCTTTAAAAATACTTTTTTGGAGGCTGGGGGCATGGCTCAGTGGTAGAGCCTGTGCTTGGCACATGTGAAGCCCTAAGCTCAATTCTCAGCACATACATACATGACATAAAATAACATAAAATAAAATACAAGTTAACTTTTGAAACCTCCTTCTTCTGGACACATCACACAAATCTCTTCTGGTTGCTTAGACTTTTACAAAAGACTGACAGGGACAAGGCCTCCTAGAGGCCTCCTCTCTGGACTGTGCATATGTATAGGGGAAGGAAATGCTTGGCTGCTTTCAAAATTGGAGGGGTAGGGCATGGCAGGTAAAATAAAGAGAGCAAGACACAAATTCATATCAACCAATTTCATATGAAATATTTAGTTTAATTTTAAATTGTTTATATTTTAAATTTTGAAATATTTTATAATGTCCATGGTATAAAATTTACAGAATATGTATCTTTTGGAAATCATAATGTTTATGGGAATAACTGGAAAATGATGAGTTTTTACTTCCCTGCAAACATGCTAGAAATTATATAACTAAAAGTTTGTCAGAGTCCAGAAAGACTTAAAAAATTTTAAAGTGCTTTCTTCATACCATTTATCAAAAATTTGTTTATTTTATATGTATTATTGCTCTCTTTAACCTTTAGATAGATTAAGTGAATTTATATTTAACAAAAGATGTCAACATTAGAGTAACATAATTTAAATTTATAAGTTTGTGTGTTTAAATTGGACAAGGAATAAAATAATTTCTCTCAGAATTGGGTTTTGAACTTACAAAAGAACCAATAGAAAACATTTCTATTATAAGCAAATACAGTTTTGTTAGTTTGTTGAATAATCTGAATAAGATGAGAGATGTAGAAGATAGAAAAAATATGCAGAATCATTATATTTTGGTGCTATTGAAGGCTTTTATGACAGTTGCTGTGAAACATGACTTGTTCAACTCTGCTTTCTAGAACTGGTTTCTGTCAAGAGTACTTTTGGGTTTTTTTTTATATGTAATGCATATCCCTGATATACAGTGCAGATAACTCATCTTTCAAATTTTAAAACTCAGAAGAAGGCACTACCTAAAATTTAGCTATTGTAGTTGTTGTTTTGTAGCTAAGAGATTTATTACCCAGGAAAATGGAAAGTATAACGGGCAAAGAAAGGCAGCATTTGCCAGTCATGATAGAAGGTGAGGTAGTTGGCATTATTGAAATTGAAAGGGTATTTAATTAAAGCAAATGCTACTTTTGATTTTGGGTAAACACAGAAGTCATGTCCCTCCTTTTTAATTGTAAAACAGGACCTGAATAGTAACATTCCTCTTTAATAGCACCAGTAGGATGGAGTGAAAATACATTTTTGTAAAATCCATCAGTATTGGCACTTTTTGAATACACATTTCAGCAAATTAATAGTAAAAAGTTATAAAGTATAATCTTATTGGGGTAGATAATTATACCATATTTTTTACAAATTCTTTTTGTATTCATGTGATAATTATATATTTTATACACAGTATTTATATTTTTCAGAAAAGCTATTTTATTATGAGAGAACTAAAGGTTTATTATTTAGGGTTTTTTAAAAAATCATTTGGAATATATATTTAAAAGTTATTTTAAATGGTTAGTACTTTACTACATAAGTAGAACCCATCCATATTTTCTAATTAAGGACATAGGCTTTAAAGTTAAAGAAGTCTTAGTCCAGATTCCAAATTCATAGTATATTTCCTGAGCACTGATTTTACTTACGGTTAAACTTTCAACAAGGTTCTTCCTTTAAATGTTTTTAAAATCTAATGATCAAGTGGTCATGTGGAGAACAAGCTCATTTCTACCCTGCTCAGTTAATTATTGTGATTGTAAACAAAAGATGTACAATTCAAAGACAAGCAACATTTCACATGGATGATGGAAGTGATAATAGCCTAATTCCTGCTGGATCTTTTTTCTCTGCTCTGGCAAGTTCATACTGACCTTGTCCAAAATCTGATGACCTCCCTCTTTTACTCAACTGTTTGGAAAGCCAGGCCTGCCATAGCTGGCCCTGAGGGGGTATCTGAAAGACCACTGAGCCACTGACCCATGTCAAGACTGGATTTCAAGTGTGATCTACAGGCCTCTGAATTAGTTATATATGGGGCTTATTGCACACAAAAGCCTAATGGGCTGCATTTTTCTGCTTATTGAATGTCCTACTAAAGAGTCATCATTAAAATCATATTTAACTTATTCATTTTCTTATGCATTTGCTAAATTATAAATTTTGATCTCTATCAGAGTTAGTATCTTGAAACTAAACATTAATGTTTTGAAATGTGAGGAATGTATACTGTTATACACTGTGACCAAAATGTAATGAATTATTTTCCTGGTTGATGAAAAGACCAAGATAGTGGCATTTTAATGCTTATAAATATTTTGGTTTTTTTCTGGAAAAAAATCTATGTATTCTATTTTTAAATCTTAGTTTAGTCTATTGGTACAGCATGGTAGTCTTTGTATATGTTTTTTCAAACCTCAGTTATTACTCAAATATGATATTTAGTAGTTTTGATGATATGAAACGTCTTGAAGGAAAGCCTTTATATATATATTTATATATATAAAATATTTATATATATATAATATTCAGATGTTATTTTACTCTGGTTAGATAGGATGTGTCTGCCTTAATATAAATACTGTGATAGGGCTATGATTTGAAAAGAGGAAAAAATTCCTTGTATTGTCATGTTATTCTGCACTGTAGGTAGTGATCCCACTTATGTGTATCTAGTCAGTGTCCTGTATTTTATAGTATAATTTTTGTTTTCCATAGGAGCTGATTCCTGAATTTTATTATCTTCCTGAGATGTTTGTCAACTTCAATAATTATAACCTTGGAGTGATGGATGATGGGACAGTAGTTTCTGATGTTGAACTTCCTCCTTGGGCCAAAACCTCAGAAGAATTTGTTCGCATAAACAGATTGGTAAGATAGTAGCCACCTCCTCTGTCATGAACATGCTCTCACAGTGTCTTTCATTTGTTGATGTTGAATCATTAGCCCTTGGTCTTCTGTACAAAGCTGTACTTGACAGGGTAACTGAAAATGACATAATACTTCACTAACTGCTGTAGGTAATTTATAAAATCTTATTGAATTGAAAGGTATAATGGGTTATTTTATTCGTTCAGTATAGTGCCTTATTTCATTATTTTATGCATAATTTAGGTTACTTTCACATACAGTTCAAAATTACAAGGCAGAGTTATTTGTGAACTGGAATTTGCTTTTTCAAGTATGAGTTTTATTGCTAAGAAAAGAACATAGTTTTGTGTTTCAGGTCAGAAGATCCTCACATATTTTGGTAACAAAAATATCTTCAAATTATCTATATCTGTCTTTTAAAGGAAATCTTTACATGATATTTAGAATATAAAAACTTAAAAAAGCATATGACCTTGTAAAATTTACAAACACTTCCTTAGTGTTATCTTCAGTGTCCTCTGCCATTTGGGCTCTGTACTATTTTCTGAGAAATTAAGATGATTTATCTTTTTTTTGCTTCTAAAGTTTCATGAAAGTTAGGAATGAGAGAGCTGCATTCACAGTTTAAAAGTAGTCTTTTTACTATATAAAATTCCAGTTGTATTGTGTCTTTATAATTAAGGGATATAACTGTACTTTGGTTTTCTAGGTGGCATTCCTTACCTTTCATGCTATACTTTCATGCTATAACATTCTAATTTTACCTTCTAGATCTTAAATTCATCCTGTTTCAGAAATTTCACATTTTATACATATTGGAAACCATGTAGGGGAGTGGAAGGGATGTAGGCTTTGGAGTTAGGCCAGTTTCCCCAGCATGAATCCATTCCGTTGTTGATTACAGAATCCTGGGCAATTTCACCTTTCTGAGGCACTGTTTCCTCATTTGTAATATTAGACTAATGATTAAAAAGTATAAGTTTGTGTGTGAAATATTTAGAATATTCTCTGCTAATTGTAGGTGCTCAGAAAATTTTACCTAATATTCTATCACACTTTTATATGTAGCATTTTACTTTTATTTGAAGCATTTTTGGAAGATTTTCGCTATGTTATTGTGATTAAAACAAGAGCTCAAGACAAAGCTTAGCTTTGAAAGATCCTGAAGGAGATGTCACACTTTTAAATGTGGGAATTGTCCATGTTCCTGGGGGCACGCAGAAGTGAATAGAAGGTACATTTTAGCTACAACTTCTTTAATGATTGTCCTTTTAAAATAGACCTACTAAGTTATACTTAACCATAAAATTCAACTTTTTAAAGGTGTATAATTCAGCAAATTTTAATAGATTCATATAATTACGTAACCATCACTACAATCCAGCTCCCCCATGTTTCCTGTCACTTTACAGCCTGCCTCTGCTCCCATCCCTAGTGCCACACAGCCATTGATTCTTTCTCTATAGTTTTGCTTTTCCAGCAAATTTGTGTTAATGACATCCTATCACACATTGGTTTTTTTCTGCCTAGCTTTTTGGAGTTAGCATGAATTTTTTGTGATTCATCCCTGTTGCTACTAGATAGGGCAGTATTTAATTTCTTTGTATTTCTAATGGCATTTTATTGTATAGATGTACATTTATATATACATTTTTTACCAGATAATTTGCAGTATTATGAATATTTGTATATAATTCTTAGCAAAAACGTTCTTCGTTTCATTGGGTAGATTACTAGGGGTGGAATTCTTGGGTTGTATGATAAGAACATGTTCACTATGAATGCCATTTTGTCTTCCCACCAACAGTGTGTGAAGTGAAGTTTCAGTTTTTCCATATGCTTAGAAAAGCTTGGTAGTCTTAATTTTAATTATTTTATTCATTCTAGTAGAATTCTCAGTTAATTTAATTTACATAACTAATAATGAATAATATTGGCCTTTTTGTTATGTGATGAACCATCTGAATTGCTTTTCTTATTTTTAAATTGTATTGTCTTTTTATTATTGAATTGAAAGAAGTTTTTGTATATTCTCCAAAAAGACCTGTATCCAACATAGGTTTTGCATATCTTTTTCAACTAGTTTGTAGCTTCTCTTTTCACTTGTTTGGTGCCTTAATACTCATCATTTCCTAGGAAATGATGTTGTGGCTGGAGATGTAGTTTGATGGTAAGTGCTAACCTAGTATGCATGAGGCCCTGAGTGTGATCCCCAGCACGTTAAAAAAGTTTTAATTGAATATTAGATATAAAATTAGATTTATATGCCTATATGAAATGTAAAATGTATCATCTCTATTCTTTAGAACATGTTTATAAGAAAAATAAAACTGTACTAGTTATTATTAAAGCACTTTTATTCTCAAATGTGATTTAACATGCAAGTGTCAGACTGGGCTCAGTGGTAGAATCCTGACCTAGCATGCCTTGGGTTTGATCCCCAGAACCCCTCAAAATGTAAATAAAAATTTAAGTCTCAAATGAACCAGCTCTTTATTAATCATCACCATAATGATTATTACTAAAAGTATCAAGAGGTTTGTTAATTTTATTTCATTTTAGAAGAGATCTAAGATAGTTGAATAAGTTACATTTTCATTTTTTCCCCAGCAGTTTGACAGTTGTTAAGGTCAACTGGTCTACTATAAGAGTAGTTCCATCTGCCCCAGTTTTCCTCAGAACTGATGAAGAACAGAAAAGCCAGCTCTGTTTTTGATGGGTATTCTAAGAACACTAAGGAAAAGAAGATTGCAACTTACCAAACTGTTCTCCTGTCACATTCAGATTTTGGTTGCCCATTCTTGATACTCAAACATGACTTTGAAATTATATACAAAATAGTATTTTATAGTATTAACTATACATTTATTATAACCCATCATTACAATTTACTTGTCCATTTTCCTAGTGAGTCCTACTCCATTGAGTTTCAGAAATGCCTTTATACTTTAGGCTCAGAAGTATAAAAATTCACTATATATCAAATGCAAATATAGTTTTAGAGTTGAATATTTATATCTTATTGTAATTCATGATTAGGAAATATACTTAATTTTACGTCTTTGTGAAAGAATTTTATAACTCAGTCATCCAAAACTACTTATCATGTACCTAGCTTTCCACAATGCAGTCCACATTGATACATTTTATAATTTCCTGTTAGCTTTCTATGAGTGACTAAATTGTTAGTGCAGTGTTTAATGTATCTGTTAGCATGTTATCACATAAGGGTTTTGTCCCCCTCCTCTGCATGGTTTTCCAGTCCACAGATTTTATGCAATGATTGTAGCTCATGAAATGCATACTACTTTGATCTGTGACCTTTTTGTGGCGCTAATCGGGTTCCTGATATCATTATACCTTACTCATTAATCATATTTCCTGCAGCCCGTCAGGCAGCCAGACAGCACAAGTCCCTGTTTCCAGCCCTCTGTTGGCAGGTTTCTGCTTTTCCAGATTATTACAGACGATACTTCGGCTTCTCATAGCCAGAGCCACATCAAGCTGTGTGTTACAATTGAAGTCAGATGGTCCTCAGGTTGAACAGGCATATAGTGTTGCAGCTGTCTCTCTTCTTGGAACAGACCAGCACTGAGAACAGAGCATCTATAGGACAGTGAATAATAACAGATTGTGCAATACTGTGTGTTGGTAGAAGGGGAGCACAGTATTAATTAAGTGACACACTTAATGTAAGATACTGATACTTTGCACGTCTTTTTTAAGTATGTGGTTGCCAAATACCGATTCAAGGATTAGGATACTTTTAGAAGCATGACTTCATGCTGGACCCACTGCTATTGAGCACACTTTCTATTTGTATTAGAAGAGTGTAACTCCTGTCTTGACAAACTATTTCCATCCTCCCGGCTTTCTTTATGCAATGATGATCTAATGTAGAATTGGTGAATTGGCTAAGTGATGAACATATGGGCAGAATATATACCTTACAGCTTTTAGAAGGAAAACTTACCAAAATTTAAGTAGCTCTTTAAATAGATAAATTATATTTTCTTTGTTCTTAACAGTTAGAATCAGAGCAAAATCAAGATATTAATAATTATATCTCTGAGATTGGACTGTGTTACTTGAACTGGCGCAGGGAGTGGCATTTTTATTCCTACTACTGCCTTATAAATATAAATGAGAAACAGACTTTCATACTTTCAAATCATATAAAAATGTATGGGTTAAGAATGCTCATCATTTATCTCTTATGGTAAAATGTCAATTTTATAGACCTGTACTATATTGCCTCAAGTTTTAATTGAACAAAAGGCAAAGAAAACCATACTCTAAGGAGTAATAACAGGACTTTTTCTTCCCCCGCCCCCAGGACCAGGGATCAAACTCTGGACCTTGCTCTGGCAAGGCAGGTGCAGGACCACTGAGCTAAATCCCCAGCCTTAATGGCACTATTTCTAAAAGTTGACTAAGTGGAGCATTTTGTTTTAGTCAAATGAGATACACTTTATTCAAACTATAATCACAGTAATTTGTTCAGTTAATGTGTATTTGTTAAGTACCGACCTGTAGAACAGCACTATTAGACAGATGATCTCCTCCTTGTCTCAGTATTTCCTTCTTCTTGATAACTTATTGAAATAGAGAACTTCTCAAGGCCTAGAGGTGACATGAATCTAGCTGAGAAAGCACTCTGTTGATACTGACCTGAGGTTACCAGTTAGAATCACATTTAGTTGTGTATCTTGTGTAGCTTTTGTCTTCATTATTGTTTTTAATGGTGACATAGTTGCTTAATTGAGAAGATAAAGAAAAAGAAAATGAGTATATATTCCCCTTCCTATTATCATCAGAGAGTATTTAGACAAATTAAAAGAAGGGTTATCTTTCGAAGTATTGTCTGATGGCAAATAATTTTAGATTTTATTTTTTTACCAACCTGGCCATTGCTAAAATTTAAATATATTTAAGCCTTCATAGATCTTCTGTCTCTGAATAAATTAGATCAGTCTTTTATAACTTTTTCCTTTGAATAG